GGGGGCCCCCCTCCCCCCCCCGGCCCCGGCCCCCGCCGCCACGTCCCAGCGCGCAGAGCCCTACGCCCTTGCGTCACTTCCAGTCGCCGCCTCGTCGCCCGCTCCATCCGGCCCCGCCCCTCTCGGAGCCTCCCTAGGACTGTGCGCCCGGCCCCGCGCGGCGAGGACTGTCACGTGACCGCCAGGCAGGCCCTGATTGGCCACCTCCTCCCCTGCCCTCGGCGGGCGCGCAGGCCCCGCCCTCGCCCGCGCCATTGTTGGGGGGGATGGGGTCGCGGGCTGGCGGCGGGGGGCGTGGATGCGCCTTCATTGCCCTCTGTTTTGGGGCAGACCGAATCAATTTGGGTTCGTGGCGCCCAGCCCTTCTTGGCGGCGACGTCCCCTCCGTGAATATTCGCTGCCCTGCAACGCCCCGTCCTGGTCGAGGCCAAGGGAGCATCGGGAGGGGGCTTGGCCAGCACAGGAGACGCCCCACTGCCCCGTCCTCGGGACGAGTGGTCGGTACCGGGAGGTGACCCTGTTTACCCCTGGGAGGAAGGTGGGACTCGCCTCTCCCCAGAACTGCCTCGGTGCGGCGAAACCTTAAGACGACCATTTGGTTGAAGGTTTATCTGTTTTTGGTAGGGAGTGGTGAAGCAAATCCTAAAAGAAATAGCTTTTCACCATTTCCTAAGGTGAGGCATAGTCCGAAATGCCTTTCAGGAGTTCCTCCACGTCATTCTTACACCGTGAGTCTTTGGTTTTGAAACTAACCTGCTTACCACGTCTCTCTCGCTCTAGGTGAGAATGGTCACTATCCGCGGTGATCTGCACCTTGTAAACCGTGACTAGCACAGAGCCCGCCCCAGTGCTCGCCCCGCGCTCCTGGGAGCCCGCTCGCACCGCCGTGGAGTTAGGGAGGCAGGCCTGCCGGTTTTGCAGGTAAAGAATGAGGCGCGAAGATTGGGTAACCCGGCCAAGAGCGCAGCCTCTTCGGTGATGGAACTAGATTCTCCCCTGCAGACCAGCTTAGATCTTGCGCTCAGTAGTTCAGTCGGAGTAAGATGGCCCTAGCCGCTGATACCTACACAGCAGACCTGCTTTCAGGCATTCTCTTGGGGCCTGCAAGAGACGTGGTGGTTAAGGTGCTGGACTCCCATGGCTGACCGTGGTGGCTTGCTTTGTCACTCCCCCCCATCCCCCTGTTTCTATCGGGAAGCACACCGTGCCCTATAGCAAATTAAATAATAATCATCAATGAAATAAAAACTTCTTTATAAAAAAAAATAGGGGCTGGCAGGTGTCATGGTGGTTAAAGGCACTGGGTTCCCACATGGCTACTACAGTTGGAGTCCTGGACCCGGTAGTTTGCTTTCTCACTTTCCCTTCTCTCTCAAAATCTGCCCCTCTCTGGTCAAATCAATACAGTTAAAATAATTTTTTTTTACAAAAATTTAAAAATAGATACTCTTTTGGTTCAATCCCACACACCCATGGATGGTTTCTGGGGTGACATCTAAACCCAAACAAAAATTTCCTTAGTAATTTGGTAGGAAAATGCTAAATTTCTTTTCCCTCAGTTTAAGGGCTCCTTCGCAGTTTCGTGGTTTACAATTACAGCTTGCAGTGAGGGCATGGATATTGCGTTAGAAATGTGCGGGCTATGGCGCTCAGTCGACGTTGGGCAATGAAGATGATCTGAACCCTTGAACAGCCAGTCTTTCTGATGAGCTTCCCAATTATCAGAACATCGTCATGTGTCATACATAAACGGCATCTGTGGCTCTTGACACCCAAGGGCTTGTTCCAGTATAAGTCATGGCAGTAGCTCTTGCACAATCCCAGGAAACATTCAGGAAATAGGATATGGCGCATCGGTTTTGTCATGTCAACAGCATGTCCACAGCTAGACTTACTCTGCTCCAGACCTACCTCTGCTTAGTGCCGGGCATCAGCAGCCTCCTCATCCATTCTTGGGACTGCAGAATCCTCTTCACCTCTTCCTTCTTTTCCTTAGAAACCATGGTTTACTGTGTCACCAGAAATTCCCTCATCCCCAAAATTGAGGTCTAATCCCAATGCTTAGACTGTGGGACTATTCATATAAACTGGAATTAGTGCATATACCTGCCTTTTCAATAATTTCTTTACACTTTGATCAGTCATTCTCAAAAAAGTTCAGTAGGGCACCAACAGTTAGTGTAATGGCTATGTCGCTGAACTCCCATGTAGTCAACCAGGGTTTGGGTCCCAGACCCGGTGGCTTAAACTCATGCCGGGCATGTGTGCATGTGTGCCCAAGATCCCGAGAGGAGAATGGAGGAGAAGGGATTGCGACACTTTCTATCTCTCTTTCTGGCGAGTGCATGTGCCCTATAGCAAAAACCTCTCAAAAAAATGTTCAGTAGTACCTCATTATTTACTGTAGTCTGAAGTTTTTCAAGTCTAGTCCCAATTCATGTTTCTTTCATTCTGTTTCTTTAGCCTCCCTCTCCCTAAATTCTTGTTTTGTCCTTTGACCACACCTTTCTACTCTGTGTTCCCTGAACATTGCCTGTGTGTTCCAACCTTGGCATCTCTGATCAGTTTTCCCCTCTACCTGGAGCCCTGGTACGATCCAGTGCAGCTGGTGTCACGTCGGCCAGAATGCCAACTCTGGACAGCATCAGAGGATCCTTTTACTGGGTTTAATTATCTTTTTTTTCTATAGTTTCACAATACTTTGTGTAATCATTCTCCTTAAAAATCTGCCTTGTTTTACACCTAGATTTTCTCTTCTACCTTTTGTTTCCCTTAGACTAAAGTTTCGGGGGGCCAGCACCATCAGTTTAGTTCCTCACAGATGACCTTTGACTTACAGGGATCCCCAAAATATGTGTGAACTTCATTACATTTAGAATGGTGAACACTGACTTAGGAAGACCTTACACAATCAACACATGAGATGCTGAAATTTATAAATTGCTTTGAACTTCTCATTTTAGTATATTGCTCTCTCATTCATTTCTATGTACTGATTTTTTATTAAAAAAAAAAAAAAAAAAAAGCCCTAGCAATTGCATCGCTGGACTCCCTCGTGGCTGACTGAGGTTTGAGTCCTGGACTCAGTGGCTTGAAAATCACACCAGGCACATGTGCATGCATGTCCAAGACCCTTGAAGGAGAAGGGATTGCAGCATGGCCATCTCCCCCAGGGGGTGATTTCTCACTTTCCCTCTCACTGTCTGTCTCTGTCTCTGTCTCTCTCTCTAGCTAGTTCATGTGCCCTAAGGCAAAAACTTCTTAAACAAAACAAACAAAAAGCTTTATTTTTGAGTGCTTGCACGTGCATGTATGAGTGAGAGAAAAAGCACCCTCCACAGGGTCTGCTTACACGGCCATCACCCTCCCCCAGGCTTCACCTGTCAGATCTGAGACACTCTCGTGTACCTGGTGTGTTTCAGGATGGCAGGCCCCGAGATTCCAACTTGCTCTCTGTTGGGGCCCGACATCTCTTGAGCAACGTGTTACTGCTATGCAGGGAGCCAGCGCTGTCTTTTAGCTCGCTTTCTTCATGCATCCGTTCCACGGTATTCTACAGCTTAGTCATGTGTTTGCCTGGAAGAGTGCTGCCCCAGTGGCTGCCGCTTCTAAGCATCCAGTGGTAATTTTAGAGAAATCAAAATGCCAGGTAAAACTTGCTGTTGTTTTGCCCCTCGTAACATACCTGCGTTTTCTTTTTTATAACCCCCAGTAACGAAAAGAGTGATACTTGACTAAATGTCAGTGGCAGTGTGGGATCCTACTTGTTGATACACAGTGTTAAGAGAGGTGCAAAATGGGGTTCAG